CTGGTGGTACCCACTGGAAGCAGTCCCGCTCCCCGGCCACGCTCTTCAGGTACTGCTTCAGGGAGCTGCAGAACTCGTCCAGGTGCTTGTGCGACACCGTCATCTCATCCCGCACCAGGAGGAGGTACTGCCGGGACCCCCGAAACACAGCGGCACGTGAGACCCCAGAAACATGGTGACCCCACTCCCCTAAAAGTCAGATGCCACGCTGCAGGGACAGCCCAGCACCCGCAGGCACTCTCACCGTACAAGCCATGCTCTCGCTGTCCGACAGCCGCTGGTGCAGGTCAAACCAGAGAGTCTGGGAACAGGGAGGAAAGCAGTGGGATAGGGGGTGGGCAGAGGTGGCGTGTCCCTCCCAGGCTGGTGGGTTTCTGTCCCCAGCTCTTGGCAGGATGGGCTGTGCCCTCTTCTCTGCAGGGGAGGGCTCCAAGAGCCGTTTGCACCTTCGTGCCCTCCTGTGAGGACCCTCTGCAAGAGCTCCCCATGCTCCCAGTACAGCTGACCTCCCCAACACCATGTTCTCACATCAGCCCTAAACCAGCTGTCACCTCTTCATGGTCCCTGAATTGTCCCTGGGATGCCCATCCCTCCTCAGCACCCACTCATGCCTTCCTAGCCCTGGACACACCCTCATTTCTACACAATGGACATTTTTCTGCCTTCAGTCTTCCTGGCACCTCTCTGCCCCCACTTACAGCACCATCTTTCCCCTGTCCCCTTCTGCCCTGAAAGCCTAAACCAGGAGGGTTTCAGAAACATCTCCACTGCAACGTTTTCTCCTTCAGTCCCTAGATGGAGTAAGACTGCCTCTGCAAGAGACCTTTCTTTCTTCCTCACGTTTTTTTTCCTTATTTAAAGAAACTCAGAGTTAATCATTCCACATTAGAATCATTAAGGTTGGAAAAGACCTCTAAGATAGTCAAGTCCAACCATCAACCCAACACCACCATGCCCACTAAACCATGTCCCTAAGAGCCACGTCTACTCATCTTTTAAATACCTCCAGGGATGGTGACTCCACCACTTCCCTGGGCAACCTGTTCCAACGCTTGAGAACCCTTTCAGTAAATGAATTCTTCCTCATATTCAATCTAAACCTCCCTTGGTGCAACTTGAGGCTGTTTCCTCTTGTCCTGTCATTCAACAGCTGCTGTCAGCTCACCAGATGTAATATCCTCCAACACCATCACCACCAGCAACCCAGCTCCCACCTGTGGCCTGTGCATGATGTGCAACAGGGATGGCCATGGCCACCTCTTGGTCACCTCCATCCCAACAAGGGCAGGGGGGCTGGTGGGCCTGTGAGGACACCCAAGGGACAGCCCCACACACAGAAACGCTGGCCCTTACCTTGTCCTCCAGTCTGCCGATCAGCTCAGCCAGCCTGTTGATCTGTCCCTCCAGCCCTTCTGCCTTGGTGTTGAGGGAACCTGCGCAAAGTCAGGAGGCACTGATGGGGTGAGAAGCACCCATGGGCACCCCCCAAGAGCCTCGCTGTCCTCCAGGGAAGCTGAGCATCACCTCCATGCTGCCACCAGGACTACAGCTCCCTTCCCACTTCAGGCTGGCAGTGCCATCACTTACCAGTCTGGAAGCTCTTCTCCCTGGGGACCATCCGGCTGGTGGGAGGGTAGCTGGGCAGGGGGTTGTCATACCAGGTGTCCATCAGACCATGGCCAGCCTTGCTGGGGTAGTGCCTGCAAGCAGAGAGCACACAGGCTGTCAGGGAGGGCAGAAACACCACAGTAGCCCTCCTGACATCTCCTGCAGCCCTCAGGGACTTTTGTCATCCCCTAGACAGACACCCACAGCATCGGGCATTCGGGTACTGGTACCTGTGCCCAGCTGGTTTGCCACACCTTAGCAGGGCTGGTTTTGCAGTCAGATGGCTTTGGTGACCAACATGTGGGAGCAGTTTCTATCACACAGGTTGCCCATCCCTGAACTGCAGCCCATGAGCAGGGAAAGCCTGTCTGGGCATCCCATCAACCCCCTGCATCCCTGTCTCTCCTGGAGAATGGAGACACATCCACTGTAGCATCTCCTCCACCTTGCTTCCTCCTCTGGGGCTACAAAGCCCCTTTGGCCTGGCTCATCCTGCAGCACCTCTTGGAGAAAAGGAGCATGTGCACATGTGTGTGCACTAATGACCACACAGTCCTAGCTCCTGGGTGCTCCTCCCAGACCCTTGTTCATTTGCAAGCCAGAGAAGATGCGAAGCCCTGCCATCCCCACAAGGATTTGAAGCTGCCATCCATCTGTGGCGAGATGGGAATGGGTTTGGGGAAGATGACCCTCTCTCTCCTTCTCCACCGATGGAAAGCCTGAGCCACAGAGGTTGAGCTGCTCAAAGGATTTCCAGTGTTTCTTTACAGTGAGAGCAGCTCTGTGCCAGGAGCCGATGGGCACAACACCGACCAGCATCGTCCCTGCCCTCCTGTCCCTCCCCAGGCACCCGGCTCCCTCCAAAGTGCCGCAGCTGGGTGCCCCCTTTACCCACCCCAACTACCCCGGGCAATTTCAGCTGGCTCCTTTTGTGCCGAGGGAGCAATACCCAGGCTGCTCTTGTCCCCCAAAATCAGACCCTGTGGATCAATGACTATGCACATGGCAATGTGGCGAGTGGGTCTGATCCAGAAGAACATCCCTGAGATAAGGAAGCAAGAACAGCGACAAAGGTGGCAGGAACATCTCAGTTGCTACAGGCTGTGCAATAATCCCACTGCCTGCGCTGAATAATCCCCCGTCAATAGGCAGGAAATTAGGCAAGAACAGACAGAGATTTCTTTTTAATCACAATTTAATGAGGTGTCACAGGCTTGGACAGTTCTGCTCTCGCACTTCGTTTTACAGCCCTTTATTTTGGTGCTTTTTAGGCCACCTCTTTGTCTTCATGCGGATGTGTGAGATCATTTTTTGTGGGTTGTTTTTTGGGTTGTTTTTTTGTTTTTTTTTTTTGGCTATTATCACCATGGGAAAACAACTACAATACTCCTCATTATGAACTGGGCCCACACATCAGCAAATAAAAGCCAGCAAAGTCTTTCATGGTCTCTAATTGCTCCGTCTGATGTTGGGCTTGTTTCCTCCTCATTGTTTCCCAGGAGCTCTTCCTTTTCCCACGTTTTGTACAAGGTTTGCACAAGCCAGTGGTTTCTTTCCAAAATGAGGAGGAAAAAGCAATGCGGGCTGATGAAACCCAGAGTTTTCTTCCTAGGAAAGCTGGTGAGATATCACCAGAGCTGCCCAGGGTCTCCCTGTGTCCCAGGGAGCAACAGCTCCCGTGAGACCAGCCTGGGGTGCAACTGATGTTTAACTGATGTTAAAACCCAAAACACCCAGTCCTGGCTGCAACAAAGCATTGGGGCACGTTGGTCCCTGTGGTGTCCCAGCAGGGAGCTGGGATTTTCACTCCCTGTGGTCTATGTATCTTGGCCCCCTCTGCCCACCGTGGATTGGGGAAGCCAAGACATCTCCCTGAACATCCCATGGGCTCCTGGCTTACAGGTATGGCAGGAGAGGGATCCACTTCATGAGCATCTGATGAGCAGTTCCTGTGGCAACCTGTCCTGGTTCCAGCTGGTGACAGCGGTACTCCAGGGAGGTGAGTGACACTGTGACACCAACGGGGGTTGTGCTGAGGTTTGGGCTATGCTGCTGGCTACCCCTTGTATTTTAGCCCTGGCAACACTTGAGAAACCTTGAAACCATCTCCTCCATCTTCTCGAAGCTCAGAGGGTGTGCAGGGCTGTTGGGATGGGGGCAGTTCCCTCCACAGGGGACCTGAAGATGGTGGCACCAGTCCTTGGTGCACAGGTGCCTTTCACCTCTGTGGAGGATTTAGCCCGCTGGGTGCCCTGGCAGGAGGGGCAGCATCTCCAGCACGGGAAGCTGCCCACCATGGGCTGTCCCCAGCACAGCCCAGACACAGCCACCCTGCTGCTGGTGTCCACATTTTGTACTGGGTGGGACAGGTGGCTTTGCTCTTAGAAGCAGCCCTGTGCATCCAGCCCAGCCCCAGGGTGCTGCCCCCAAGTTTGCATCCCCTCTCTGCACTGTTCATGGGTGAAGGGGACAAGAGGGACCGTTAGGGCTCTGGGAGAGTCAGGGACAGGGTAGGACAGAGTGGTGGAGGAAAGCCCCGAGAGCTCTGAGGAAGCCAGGAAGGAGCCTTTGGCTCCCCTTTGCTCCTGCACACCATCTGCCCCATTTTCCCTCACCCTACAAGAGCATCCTCCT